TGATCGATAGTATCAAAGTGTGTGTGGGGGGAAAACTCCTGGCGGTCTCAATTACACAAAAACTTTGCCAACTTTTTGAAAGTTGGAATTAAGACTGTGCAGAAGATTGACAGCAATAATAGTTCATTAAAAACAATAAATGACTCAGTATTTTGTCTCTAGGAATTCGAACACCAACACATCCACAGAACCACCTGACCCTGTGGTATTATTTACGGGGTCACCGTCGCCGATGCAGGGCGTGCACACGAGCAGCATCATCACTGAGTCACAGCAACATCCTTCACTCAGGACGTGGTGTAAATAACTATGTCAGAGCGCGGCGTATTATTTTGGTGCATCAGACCTTTGACACGTTTCTCTCTGTGCCCCCCCCCCACTGAGCATTTAGCCTGCAGTCACAAGCGCGTTGGACTTAAAGCTAATGCTCATTACCGCCTGAGCGCTCTGCTGCTCTGCATCAGTGGAGGAACGCCGCTCAAACAGGCAAGATCACATCTGAAGCATCGTTTTCTCCAAACAGAGTAGAGGTTGAGCTCAGTTCAGAGGACTGCTTCCCCGTTAATGGGACCTCTCTGTAGTGTCATTTCAAGGCCTCTCCCTGCGGGTGTCGTATTTACCGGGACCCAGACGGCGGGTCTACCTTCAGGGCAACGGGGGCCACTTTGTAGTGAGAGCACGCCCGCCGATCTCAGGAACAAAACACGAGGATGAAGGCGAGGAAGAGCAGTCGTTCAGCCTGTCAGGCACATTACAGTAACATGCAGGCGATTGGCTGGGGGTGTTGACACTCGTGAAGGAGCTTGTTATCCAAACTTAGAGGCACTACCACACACACAGAGTCACACACACACAGTTACACACACAGAGTTACACACACTCCTCCTCCTCTCTAATGATGTTCCCAGAGACTTCTGCTCGTACTCGCTGCTGCAGAAGAAGAAGAAGAAGATGAAGATGAAGGAGGAGGAGGAGGAGTTGGAGGAGGCAGCTGAAGTTGATTTAAATAGATTTTAATGAAGTTGTGCACTAAGGTAGCCTCTGTTCATAATCAGGAGATGCAGGAGCAGCCGACACTTCTAACGAGGGCAAAGGGCGGGAAAAACTCGGTTTCCGTTTTTTTTTTGTATCCTCTCTCTGCCGCAGGCTATTATGATAAATATGAAATTATGGATTACACTTTTTATATTTTCTTCACAGCAATTAAATTGTCTGGCCATCAGCGAGCGGCAGGGGCAGATAACATTAGCATTCAGCTCCAGTCACGTTAATCCACATTAATTCTGAGCAGCGGCGACATCAGGGGCGGATTCAACCTCGACCAAACAATGGAGGCCGAGGAGCCTTCATCACCGGACGGCCCGAACACACGAATACTAAACACAAGACGCCTGATTGAATACACAACACGACCAATCACTGACAAGAAAACAAGCAAGGACTCCTCACACTGAACCTTTTCTCATTAAGACCTCCTCCTCCTTCTCTCCTCCTCTCTTCCTTCTTCCTCCTTCTTCTCCTCCTCCTCCTCCCTTTCCTCTCCCTCCCTTTCCTCTCCACTGACTGCTCTTTCAAGTAGTTGATTCCTGCCTGTCATGTTAGAGCTGGGATAATTGGCTCGCTCGCTCGCTGTCTGAATGAACAGCGTGGAATATCAATAGATTCACGTCTGTGTTTCTTATGTAAGTGAACAAAGCTTAATGAAAGCTGAATGTATTACCGGTAACTCTGCTCCTGCTGCTCTCCTCTTCAGTAAATAAAGACAGAAGGATGGATACACCTCCACTCTGACACTCTTCTATCACAGAACTGAACTGGGAAAAGGCGTTTAAGTTTGCTGCTCGCTTTAGTTTTTAATCTCAAGGACTTTTCTTTCCTGGTTAAATAAAAAACCAAAAAAAATCTGCTGCACAGATCATGAAGAGGAAATCCATTTGAGTTTGATAAACATGAGAGAGATCGTCGTCCAGAGCCCAGGTGGGGTGTGAAGGCTCTCACAGTGATCGATACTTTCACACTCTTCATACCACGTGCTTTTAAGGGCGCACTCACTCTAGACAATCCGTACCGTGCCTGAGCACGCTTCCCCTAGAAGATCGTCAACGTGTGGTTCAAAAGCAGGTATATCTGAGCCTTAAGAGCGAAAGAAGAAATGACAAAAACATCAGTATCAGCCGGTCGGTGCATCGCTACTTTTCACTTGAACGCCTTAATGGCATTTCTTTTTGTTGTATTCAGATTTCTTTGCTGTGTAAAATGTGCCTCTTCCTCTGATTCCACGTGAATACGCCTCATTTAAATACGACGGCCTCCACATTCTTTGCACCTGTTATCATCCACAAAGTTCTTCTTGATTGATCCCGTAGAGCGCCACACCAACCGAACGAGCCATTAACTGATCTGGACATGGAATTATTACTCACTACCTGGGATCTTAGTAAACCAGGTCCTTAGTCGTGTAACATAACCTTCTCCTGAACGGCAGAAAGTAGAAAGACCTTAAAGACACGCCTTCCAGCATGTGACGTGTTTAGAGACAGACTGTGAGAGGTCATCATCATCATCACCTGTTATTCTGTCACACAGATCTTTACTGTGAATCAAACATCACTGACTGTGGAGAGGAAATGCGAGAACTATCATCAATCATGAGGCTGTAACAGAGTCTCTCTGTGGAGCTCTTTAAACGGAGCGTTTCCATTATGTTTCAGCCATTGATTCAATAAGGAGCTCATAATGAAGATGTATGGGAACCAGGGAACCATTTATCCAACACATCACAGCCACTAATTCATACTTCAGTCTCCGTCGAGAGCAAGAGAGAGTCTGTCAGAGAGTGCAGAGCCTGAAACGCTCTTTATTCAGTCTGCAGAGAGTTTGACTCAGAGCACACCAGCCAATCAGAGCTCAGAACAAGAGGACACCAGCCAATCCGAGCTCAGAACAAGAGGACACCAGCCAATCCGAGCTCAGAACAAGAGGACACCAGCCAATCAGAGCTCAGAACGAGGACACCAGCCAATCCGAGCTCAGAACAAGAGGACACCAGCCAATCCGAGCTCAGAACAAGAGGACACCAGCCAATCCGAGCTCAGAACAAGAGGACACCAGCCAATCCGAGCTCAGAACAAGAGGACACCAGCCAATCCGAGCTCAGAACAAGAGGACACCAGCCAATCAGAGCTCAGAACAAGAGGAATACACCAATGAGACAGGCTGTTCTGTGATTGGTTGAATTCCTCTTGGTCTGAGCTCTGATTGGCTGTTGTCCTTTGACAAATATCTGACAGTGTCAGAAATGTAGGACAATCTCCTGACGATGTGAATACGTCTACATCTACGTCAGCTAACCGACCAACAGAAAGCGTACACTAACAATAACGTGACCTCAAGCTCTATTTGTTAAGTTAACCACCTCTCCCTCGCCACTACCACGTGCACATTTTTTCTATCCCTCCTATTTTTTCTTTGCACATGAACACCACTATGGCAAGAACTTGCTCTCTTTCTGACCGCCATGGGAACCTCAGCCGCACAATGATAACGCTAATGAGGCTGCATCTTCACGCCTCATCGCATGTGAAAGCACGTCAACGTAGTGGCTGCGTAAACGTGTAATGCAGCAATTAGAGCCCGACCGATTATTCGTCCAGCCGATTATCGGCCGATATTAGAATATCAGGTGAATCTCTGTATCGGCTAACTTTATCGAGTTTGAGTTTCATTGTATTACACTAACAGTTCTCTGTCACCAGCGAGGGCGCTGTATGGATTACAACAAGCATCATCACTCTGCAGAGTGTCGAGCGGTGATGCACGTTCATGCTCAGTTACTCTCCAGTCAAGTGACTTTCATCTCTTCATTATAAATCTTTATAAAGACTTTGATAACTGAGGCAGTGTTTCCCCTACCGTTATATTATGGGGGTGGCCCGCCCAAAATGTTTTTTTGTTTTATTTAGATTTCTTTTTTGACCCACCCCAAGCTGAAAACCTAGGGGAAACACTGTGAGGGATCTACATGCTAAATGTGTTTATCTCTACAGATCGAACATAGAGCTAAGAAAGATATCAGACAATATATCGATATCTGCCCCAAGAATCTCATATCAGTCAGGCCGTAGTACTAATGTAATAACTAACTCAAAGTAAATTTGGAGTTTGGATATGTCAAATACTTTGGAGGTCTTTGCAAAGCGTGTACCAGAAACACGCCGATATTATTCTGTTGTGTTGAACAGAAATGATGAAAGTCGACCTCAGCTTCGAGGTGAGCTCTAAGATCCCTCCATGATTCTAACTGTATGTTTGTATCTGATTGATTTATAGACGCGCACACGCTCTCTCTTCAAACATCCACCTTTTATTAATGGAGCCGAACTTAGCAAAGTCTTTCAAGCTCACGCTGAGATGTTGCTTTAACCGCACACAGACACAAAGATCAATGTCTCCTCTGAACAGAAACGCTGAGAGCACGAACTCTCGCACGTCGATTTGACCGTTTTCTCTCCCCAAGACGTTCAGCAGCAGGTCAGCTGGGCAAACACAGTTCATCCGTGCTGTTTGGTTACGATAATGCTGCTCTTTAATGCTGATATCACCAGCAGTTAGCACACCGGATTGGCCTCTCCCATCGTTAGAGTTGCTAATGCAGAAGATAAGCAGCTGATGTGGTAAACTCAGAGCTTATCTACGCTGCGTCTCTTTCGTCTCTTTTCCTGTTTTAATTATTCAGAGCATACTTACTGATTCACTGAATGGATGTCTTTAATTGAACTGAAGATGTTTTTTCGAACGTCTGGCTTCAGGGTCCCTTTGGCCTTTAAGAGCTCCACAAAGTACTGAAAGAACAAAGAGAGGTGAAGTTATTTCTCTGTGTTAGTAAAGAGCACGGCCGTCTCTGATTGGACGGGCCGTTAAAGAGTGGAGATAATTACTCTTAAAGCAAAGACAGCAGATGTAAAGCTAATGAGAGAAACTTTAAAGACGCTCACAGTGTGGTACATTCCTGCTAACATTATTTGTGACTGTATATCTGAGCGGAGCAGAGAGCGCATTAGGATGCTGCTGTTCTCTCACAATCAAGCAACAGCTGGGACGGTCTCAAGCCATTTGAAGTGAAAATGGGATTAGCAAATTGAATGTGCATTAGGCCTAAAAATGACTTCTAATTGGAGACAGTGGGTGGAGGCTGAGGAAGTGTAGAAATGATGCGGAGGAGGAGGAGGAAGAGGAGTCTGTTCTCTCCACAGGGAGGAGGAGAAGGAGGAGGAGGAAGGAGAAGTCTGTTCTCTCCATGAGGAGGAGGAGGAGGAAGAGGAGGAGTCTGTTCTCTCCACAGGGAGGAGGAGGAGGAGGAGGAGGAAGAGGAGTCTGTTCTCTCCACAGAGAGGAGGAGGAGGAGAAGGAGGAGGAAGGAGAAGTCTGTTCTCTTCATGAGGAGGAGGAGGAGGAGGAGGAGGAGTCTGTTCTCTCCACAGAGAGGAGGAGGAGGAGAAGGAGGAGGAAGGAGAAGTCTGTTCTCTTCATGAGGAGGAGGAGGAAGAGGAGTCTGTTCTCTCCACAGGGAGGAGGAGAAGGAGAAGGAGGAGGAGGAGGAGAAGGAGGAGGAAGGAGAAATATGTTCTCTCCATGAGGAGGAGGAGGAGGAGGACGAAGAGGTGTCTGTTCTCTCCACAGGGAGGAGGAGAAGGAGAAGGAGAAGGAGGGGGAGAAGGATCACTAACAATGATGGACTGTACACAAAGATAATGCTCTGAAACATCTCAGTTCTGTCCAGCATTGTAATGACGATGAGCTCCAGGCAGCCAATCATATACAAGTTGGGGCAGTACACGTTGCCCAGGTAACAAAGAAAACAGATGTAGTCCAGAATCACAATACTTGTTGTATTGCTATATATCATATTAAATGTGCTGTAGAATTAAAGTAACGCCTTCATGTTAAAGTAAACGAGCGTTTAAAGTTAAAGTGACTGAAGTACAGGTCTATCTATACCAGAAAACATCAGACAGGTTCACCTGTCACCCCCCCCCCCCCCCCGACTCTCACTGTGTTGATGAGCTCCAGCTGCTGACAGTATCTCTGCTCGGTCTGAACCAGCTCTTTAGCCGTCCGGCTGCGTTTCCTCTCCCAGCGCTCTCTCTGCTCCTGGATACTGGTGCAGCCGGGAGGACCGGACGGGCCGGAGAAGAAACTCATGGTGACGAAGAGGAGGAGGAGGAACCTGCAGAGACACAGACAGGATTGGGTTAAATCCAGGTACAGAGATGAGGTCGTTACGCACTGACAATAGTTGATGATAAAACAAAAGCAGCCTTAAATTACTATCTCCAAACCCACAAGCTATTTAAAGATGATGCGTTTTGTCCTTCATTACTGTTGGTGCCTTGATTTTTTTCGACCGATCAGCAGACTGCATTGTGTCTAACTCCACCCTTTAGGAACAGATTGATACGCTTGATACCATAAAAGTAGGACAGTACGGATCAGTTATTTTGGTACCACTCCGACTTGGAAACGCCAATAAATGTTTCCGGACTGAACTGAGCCGGACCGCTTGGTGAAAGCTGTGAGTTTTTCAGCTTCCCACGCCTCCGGCTCACACAACCTTTAAAGAGTTTATTATTTGATCCTTTTTATAACTGTGGCCCGTCGCTACAGAAGCTCTGAAATAAACCCCGTCTGTTTAATCTGTTCCTTCATCAGTGCTCTCATTATCTCCGCTGTTTATCATTTAACTATCCAAACATGTGGAAACATGTCTGCACAGTTTCTCAGAGCACCATCAGAAACCTTCTAGGACTCTTTATTTACTGTAAGAGGAGACATCTTTGACGTCCTGCCTGAATAAATCATCGTGAAGCTTAATGATGAATTTAAAAAACGGCCTCAATTTATTTTCCTTTGATCCACTCTGCTCCTTAAATAAATGCCGACATTTTACTTTGAAAGAGAATATTTAGGACAGAAAAACCAAAGTGATGACATCATCACTGGAGTTTAAAGATACGATGTGAAAGAAAATTAGACACATTTTCAATTATTGAGTAATTAAAGACAGTCTGACTGGATTTTACTGTTCTGCTTTGTTCTGGTTGACTCGGGATGTTTCTGGGCGGAGCTAGTGTGTTTCCTCCAGCCAATGAGAGCGCAGCAGGTGAGTTTAGGAGAGGATACAGTTCAGTGATTGGACAAAGTTTAAACCAGAGAATATGACGGACGTGGACGTAGCAGCAAAGAAGAGAAAATATAATCAGAGTGAGGAGAAACACCAAGTGGATAAAGCTCGTTCTAAAACGAGGGTGAACCTTGTGTTGTCTTTTACCCGTGGACGTGGAGTTGTTCTGCTTCCTGTTGGACAGGCAGGTGACAAACACCGGCGGTTAGCTTGTGCTAGCGTTGCGTTAGCTTGCAGTGTAGGTAGAAACAGTAAACGTACACACTACGTCCTGCAGGGGGCGTGGCTTCTGGAGGAGGAGGGACCCAGTTTAAATGTTGTGTTTACATTTCTACCGACTCCGCCTTTCAGTAACAAAAAAACTATTTGAGGTAACAGCTTCTCAAATGAGACATTTTTTTAAATGCTGTAAAGTGTGATACAGTTTGGAGGTGGGCTGAAGTTCTTTTCTTACACCAGAAGAAGTGTACAATGTGGGGTTGTCGTGACAACGCATTTATGAACTTTGATATGATGCTACTAAAAATCAGATGATATCAACATCTGATTCAATATCACAGCGACACAAATGAAAGTATTACAAGCACAACATGTGGTAACATTTTGTTTTTTAAGAACGAAAACTGCAGCAAACTCCTGCACATTGTCTTAGTTGGACAGAAACATTGGCAACATATTTGTGCAATTCAGACAATGCTCTCTAGAGCTATTTCTGTCTCGCTTCAGCTTTGACTTATTAACATGACTGCAGAAAGTTAAACCATGATCTGTCTCTGAGGTGATCCTCCTCCTCCTCCTCCTCCTCATGCTGACCTGCAGTCATGGAGCAGTGTCCTCCTCATTACTGCTCCTCCTCCAGCAGCCTGAGGAGTGAGGAGGTGAGGAGCAGAGAGGAGCCGTGGCAGAAATTAACCCCAGAACTGTCCCTGAGGAGCCCTGCACTGTAAACAAGAGGCCTGATCAATGCTAACCACACACAAACATCCCCCAGAGACACACACACACACACACACCTCTACAGTTTATCATGAGGCTGCACGGTGACACTAAACACAACTAACAAGCTCATACCTGACCTGTGAAGGGACATGATGACCAGGTGAGATATGACAGGTGCTCAAACTGCCTGATAACAGGCTTATGATCACATCGAACAAATGTTACAAAAATAAATTAGGTGTTAGTGAGGGCACTGTCACATGTTCTAAAGCAATAGCAAGCAGCAATTGTGTAAAATCCTGCAGATCCACGAGTGTCCACTAGAGGCTGGCTGCAGAGGTAAAGGAAGTCACATACACACCACATACTTTGTTTTAAGATATTTTTGGGGCCTTCATTGATCGGACAGCTAAAGAGAGACAGGACATTTCTGGAGGATAGAGAGAGAGAGAGCAGGACGACATGCAGCAAAGGGCCGAGGTCGGATTCAAACCCACGGCCATTGCGACTTGGACTACAGCGTACATGGGGCGCGCAACATAACCACAAAGCTATGCGGCGCCTCAGTTTAAACACGATAAAAGGCCCGTCTGACTCTCTTATTGATGCCTGTCCCAAGTAAAGGCGTGTTTCATAGGCTGAAGTCATTAAAGCCTGGGCTGTTAACAGAAGTTGTAAGATATGTGAAGTCTTATTTTAAACTTTAATGACTTTGTGTTTATGAGACGGTGAAAAATGTTTCAGTGAAATATTTCTTCTCACAGTCAAGTTAACTTTACCACAATAACTTAAAAAGTTTTACAGTGAACAAAGTGACAGAAGGGAAACTTACAGGTTTTTAATGAAGTAAAACTTAGTCAAAGGAACCTGTTTGTGAAATTAAACTTCCGGTGTTATGCCGAGAAATGCAGGACCAAAATATGGCAGTATTTAACATCCACCCTTAAATTTAGTCTAACTATTTATATGTATTAACTTAACATTTATTAAATATAAACTTCAGTTACTTTGTCATCACAGATTTCCCCCCCCAGAAATGAGAGTTATTAGACTGTTTTCTAAAAGCAGACTTTTCTCAGCAGGGATGCTTTTCTGGGCGTAACACCACTTAAACCCGCCAGTTCAGAAACTCTCTAAAGTATCGACGATAAACTAAAGTCATAATTTAAAGTTAAACGGCTTCGTGTTGATGTAAGCTGTCTTCATCTGTTGTTAAACCTGTCTTTAACTCGCTGATAAGTCGTTTATAAAAGTCTTAAAGTCGCTTCTTACCTTCTGCTAACGTCTCCACTTTTGATCAAGGCGCTCTTTTTACTCACTGCTTCCTTCTTCCGGGCTGCGTTGTTGAGGCGCTTGCTGATTGGCTGCTCCGAAACGTGACAATAACGCTGATTGGCTGCTCTTCACTACATCCCACTAGCTGTTCACACCATAGACTGTTCACACAGCTAGTGGACTGATAATGAAGCAACTCCTTCTAGGAGGACTCGATGACTGTTACTGAAACATGTGGAGCATTTTAATATAATAAACCTCATTATATTTATTTAAGGTTTAAAATTAATCTATGTGAAACTACCAAATTAAAATCCCACTTCCTGTCCCAGAGTTTCACATTAAAACTGAGTTTGTGCTCCAGATTAAAAGTTTTTATTCAAACAATTTTTTAAAAATATGAATACATTTATGTAACTGTTTTAATATGTCGTCCTGTGGCTGCTTTGATTGTGTTTTATACAATTCATTTATGTCCATGTTATTGTTTATGTTAGATATTTATATAATTACCCTGTATATTTGTATATTTGTACATTTCTATAGTTACTGGAGATATTAGTTAGACACACATCAGTCATCTGACACCAGAAATACTCTAATCTATGTAACAAAACGTTTTTATAAAAAAAAAAAAGTGTGTATGTGACTTCCTTATATCAAATAATATAAAATATGATACAATATATAATATTATAATAAATGTAAATGGCCAGCAGGGTACCTACCCCCTGCACAGCCTATTGGTTCTCAGGTGCGCACGGTTGCAGGAACATACCATGAAAAATAAATGTAATATCTGTGGCAACTTAAACTGTATTTTATTGAGTTATTTTCAGTGTGCCACAGATTTTTGATTAATTATAATAAATGTGTTAATCAGGATAATCAGGAACAAATATCATGCAAGTAAAAAAGAAAGGTTTCTTTAAGATGTCTCAAGACTATTTATAAATGCAGGACCTTCTTTAAAGGCAGTGTCCCTGCAGTTAGTCCTGGATATACAGACCGAGCACAACCCATCTCTTGTCAGGTCTTCGGAGCTCCGCTTTACTGACGTTTCTGCTCTTTCTGTAACCACCCATTGAACAGTCCAAACATTTCCCTGCATGCTGGAGTTGTATGATGTTTGATTTAAGGATGCATCTGAAGTGTCAACAAGTGTTTCCTGTGCTCGCTGCAGATCTGACAGCGTCTGCAACAGAAACCTCAGCTCAGCACTTTGCAGCTCGTTATGAGATGAAAGTGAAGCCCTCAGTAATCAGGCCATGACAAGGGAGGCTGCAGCATCCAGTCCTCCAGGAACCATTTAAAAAAACATAGGATGCATAATTTTCCTGGAGCTCATCGTGCTGCAGCCGCCTGCAGCCAGCAGCGAGAACACTGACATCTAGTGTTCTGCAGATACTCCATGACAGGTCTGTGTTCTGCAGATACTCAATGACAGGTCTGTGTTCTGCAGGGACTCAATGACAGGTCTGTGTTCTGCAGATACTCCATGACAGGTCTGTGTTCTGCAGGCTCTCCATGACAGGTCTGTGTTCTGCAGGCTCTCCATGACAGGTCTGTGTTCTGCAGGCACTCGATGACAGGTCTGTGTTCTGCAGGTTCTCAATGACAGGTCTGTGTTCTGCAGGTACTTGATGACAGGTCTGTGTTCTGCAGGGACTCAATGACAGGTCTGTGTGCTGCAGATACTCCATGACAGGTCTGTGTTCTGCAGATACTCCATGACAGGTCTGTGTTCTGCAGATACTCCATGACAGGTCTGTGTTCTGCAGGCTCTCCATGACAGGTTTGTGTTCTGCAGGCACTCGATGACAGGTCTGTGTTCTGCAGGTTCTCAATGACAGGTCTGTGTTCTGCAGGTACTTGATGACAGGTCTGTGTTCTGCAGGTAGTCGATGACAGGTCTGTGTTCTGCAGGTTCTCCATGACAGGTCTGTGTTCTGCAGGCTCTCCATGACAGGTCTGTGTTCTGCAGGTACTCGATGACAGGTCTGTGTTCTGCAGGCACTCGATGACAGGTCTGTGTTCTGCAGGTTCTCAATGACAGGTCTGTGTTCTGCAGGTATGACAGGTCTGTGTTCTGCAGGTACTCGATGACAGGTCTGTGTTCTGCAGGTTCTCAATGACAGGTCTGTGTTCTGCAGGTATGACAGGTCTGTGTTCTGCAGGTATGACAGGTCTGTGTTCTGCAGGTACTCGATGACAGGTCTGTGTTCTGCAGGTTCTCAATGACAGGTCTGTGTTCTGCAGGTACTCAATGACAGGTCTGTGTTCTGCAGGTATGACAGGTCTGTGTTCTGCAGGTACTCGATGACAGGTCTGTGTTCTGCAGGTTCTCAATGACAGGTCTGTGTTCTGCAGGTACTTGATGACAGGTCTGTGTTCTGCAGGTACTCGATGACAGGTCTGTGTTCTGCAGGTACTCGATGACAGGTCTGTGTTCTGCAGGTACTCGATGACAGGTCTGTGTTCTGCAGGTAAACTGAGTTTAAAGACTGAAAGTTAAAACTCTACAAACTGCTGAGCACATAAATGCATGTTTAATGAGAGGAGGATTAAAATGCATGACACCAGTCGGCCTTCTCTTCATTGTTTTCTGTTTATTGTGTTTGCAGAACATTTGCTTTTAGAATAATTGGCCCCAAAACAGACAAACGCTGCAAATTAGGCCTCTTTTGCCTGGAGGCGATGGAGGCGTGAAGAGTGCAGGAGACCACAGACAAAGGGTCCTTTTCTTTTTTTTAACCTGGGGATATGAAGAGGAAAAAACTCAAAGAGTCAATAATCTACACAAGTGGAGGAAGTCTCCCAAGGTTGTGCAGCCCGCCGGTGTTTTATTCATGGCAGCCATCGCCAGAGGACTCATAATTGACCTCTGCTCTTTGAGAAAAAACTTGCGCAGATGAAAGATTGTGATGTTTTGTAATTCCACTTTTCAGTCCCCTTCTCCCCGATCCAATAGTATATCGAACTGAGAACATGAATAATTCAGCAGGTGTGAGGCCCGGCTACCTGAGCTGGAAGACGTTTTCTCTGAAACAAAGTTAGAGGAGCTGAAGATATCAAATCTAGAAACACAAATAACAGGCACATGGAAATAAATAGCAGCCCTGTTGGACAGAGCCTGAAGAGGAAATGCGACTTTAAAGAGCGCTGTTTGTTTTTTCCTGCAGGACGCTGCACTCGCTGCGAAATCTCGCCGAGTGTTTATCGATGCAGAATCCATTATGGCGAGGGCTGATGGGGCCAAAAGGCTTCATCTGTGTTTGAATGCTTCAGCGCGGCGCTCGCCTCTTCACTTAACTCCTCTAATTAAACATGTTTTTGTCAAACGGTAATCATGGCGTCAAGAGCTCTCACTCCAGTCGGCCTTCACGAGGACGCCATTGTGTGAGTGTGACTTCAAAACAGTGCATGTGTTTGATGTGTTCCTGCCTTTGTTGGACTCCAGTCTCTGTGTTGAAGCTCTTTAATGCTGCATAATGACTTTAATGACTTTAATTATTCTTCTGTCTAAAAGTGAACGCACTAAATCATCTGTTAAGTAAATACTCATTTCAACTTCAGTTTAAACACGCACACATGATTTAGTTTTTACTTTCACTCCTCACATTTCAACACAAATGTGATTTGATCGTTTAAGAAGTTTGTTTGTGTAGATTTCTTGTAGAGGAGGGGCATCACAAGGTTTGAATCTTTTCATTCTTGTCTTTTTTCTTTAGATTTCTGTTCTTTGTTTCTTCTGCTTACACGTTCAGACTCATACAGCTGTGATACATTTGAGCTTCGACTTTCTAACATCCAACACCTGAAATAACTCCTCTAAACTCCTCTGGGAGTCATCAGAAGACAAAGACGTGCGGAGAGGAGAGGACCCTCCTAAACTGCAGCGTGGAGAAGAGACACTGGAATGCAATTGTCAAGACGTCGATACAGTTCAGCTTGACTGCAGGAAACTATTCATTCATTAATAAAGGACAAACACAAAACACACCATGTTTAAATATCCTGTGGATTTTCAGAGCGTCGCTCGAAGCTGTCTTTCCGTGCGGCCTGCAGCCTTCACTCAAACAAAGCTCGTCTTCTTCTTGTGATCAAAAACGGACGAATGCCAGGAAGGATGAACACAAAAAGCTGGACGTCCTCCATCTTTGTCCTTGGTTTAGTGTTTCACATTCTCCATCAGGCTTACACCTCCACCCACCAAGTAAAGGTACGGCCGGCTGCTGAGACACAAGCACGATCAGGGTTTACTGTTCCAGACCGTTCTGAACCGTACCGCATGATGGTTTCAGAGTTGGACACGGGGTCGGACAGCCGCGAGCTTCGTGTGGTTAGGAACACTGAGGCAGAAATCCTGACGGATCAACAAGTTGAAGAAATGAAATTCTCTGTGCGTTCTCATGTGTCTGTAGATGTGCAGGATCTTCAACGATCACTTCAGACGTCTGTTCATCAAATGTTCTCAGATGAGGGAATATCTGAAGTTCATCTCTGATGGGAATCTGTCGACAGCGTGACTCACAAACAGGAGGGGGACAACCATACTCACTGAATCCATGGGTGAGCTGCTCGACACCTGCCGGCCAATCAGGAGGAGTTGTGAGGCCTTCCTGTGAGTTTGGAGAGAACAGCAGTTGATAATATTTCCTCCCAGCTCAGACTGCGTCGTAATTACTCTCTTTCAGGAGCGTCTATCTGTGCTGCAGTAATCACCCTGTAGCAGATAATCACAGAACATTGTGCTCACTTATCACTCCGTTATTGTCTCACTCAGACTCCAGACACAGACGACCACACGCTCACTCAGACTCCAGCTGACGACCACACGCTCACTCAGATTTTTCACGTATTCTGTAAAATCCTCTTCACCTTGTTTCTCTAACTCTAATACGTGTTTCTAGTCCGTCTACAAACCCCCCTAATGATGAGAAAAGTCCATCCTCTCCGTCTTTTTCTGGCCGTTTGGAGATGTTCCCTTCATGACATCACGAAGGGATCCTGCTCAGCCCTCTGATGATCCGTCGGTGAGCGGTCGTCACCCTAGTCTTTGCGG